CGGGGGGGGGGTGACTCTCAGTCTGGCCTGCACCTTCTCACAGATTGGGACCCCTCAGGGGATGTCCATCTACTGGCTTAGGCCCAATCCTAAACTGGCAGGCGGACATCCCTCTTGCAATCTGGGATCCCTTGCTTCTTACTCCCCGCCTGCTCACTCCTTACAAACTAGCTTGCTGCTCCTTAGTGCTGCTATGGAGGCAGGAGAGGTTCCTGTCCACCACTGCCATGAGCCTGGCTCAGGGCCTCTGGGAGCACACTGACCACCAGGGGCCAGTGCGCATCATAGCACCTAGTCGTTCCACTGTTCAGTCGATTTGCATATTGGCCTCTTATTATATAGGATATTATACAAATAGTGTTGATTATAGCCCACAATAAAAAATGTTTAAAAATATTTAGCTGTACAGTGCTAGAATCCTTAGGATGAGCTACCTTTCTTCTAGGGCAGTATTAGGTAACAAGGTTTTTTCCAAATCTTTAACAGTGAAAAAATAACAAGTATATTACAAATTTAGGGGGTAGTACAGAAAAATAAAACTCTCAGCTCTTCAAAAAATATTCCTTTTTATATAAATAATAAGCTAAATGTATTTAAAAGTTAGCAAGTATTACTGTCTGTAAGACCTGTCAAACTGACCCATTGGGCCAATAAAAAATACATTTAAATAAAAAAAGATTTTCTCGACTCTGCACTTTCACCATGGCTTTCATTGCTAAGTCGTTCTACAACCTCACTATTATCAGCTTGGCTGGGGAGAAGACAGATTTCAATACATTCCGAGGGAGGGCAGTGCTGATTGAGAATGTAGCATCACTCTGAGCCAGCTCAACAAGCTGTAATGCTACTTTCCCAGGCACCTGGTGGTTCTTGGCTTCCCTTGCAACCAATCTGGACATCAGGAGAAGTGTCAGAATGAGATTCTAAACAATCTCAAGTATGTTTTCCCTTGGGGCTGGATTCCAGCCCACCTTTTCTCTTGCCCAAAAGTGTGATGTGAATGGTCAGAACAAGCATCCTGTCCTCACCTACCTGAAGAACAAGTTCCCCGACCCTTATGGTGACCCATTTTCTCTCATGACCAATCCCAAGTTCATCATTTGGAGTCCAGTGTGCCACTCAGATATGGCCTGGAATCTTAAGAAGTTCCTTACCAGGCCAAATGAGGGAGCCCTTCTGACACTACAGCTGCACTTTCCCCTCCTTCAACATTGAGCCTGATACCAAGCGTCTCCTCAAAGTTGCCATATAGGCACTGGCTGCTAAACACACAGATCTACTCCATCCAGCCCGAGTATCTCTTCTTAGGATTCAGAGTGTCCTTGGGAGACACTGCTGGACCTAAGCTTTCCCTTGAGATCAGTCTCCATCATTGAAGAATCTTGCCTTTCCTGTCTGCCTGTTGCCTTTTTCTCTTCCAACCTTCTGGTTGGTGATTCAACTTGGCCTCCAAGACTTGGGCGGGCTCTGGGCCTTCACAGAATGATGGCACCGCCCTCCTATATGGGTGCTGTCTGAAGAATGTGAAGAGCCTGCGCCAGCCTGCTAGCTGAGTCCAATAAAGGGCAGGTGTGGCAATGGCAAAAAAAAAAAAAAAAAGACTTTTAAACAAAAATGCATTTAAATAAAAAACCAACCGAACACATAACAAACTTACACAGAAGAAACAGGGCACAGAGGTATCCATTTTTATTTTATCGGGTTTTGACAGTGTCAGGCTAATTCTGGAACCAACAGCTGTAAAGGTAACTTTCTAATTCTATTACCTTCCTGCTCAAAGTAAATAAGTAAAATTGCCTCCCTTGATGGCCCAGCTCTGAATTATGGTTTTTGGGAATTGCTTCTGAAAGTTAAGCCTATAGCCTAGTTCTTCAACTCCCAATTTCATGATTTGTCCATACCCTTTCTGCTCTAACTAGTAAAAATGCCAGCCAAAAATGTTGTACTAGCTTAGTGGAAAAGGTAAGGAGACAGGTATTAAAGGTTACAATACTGCAGTGGCTGAAAGTCAAATTGTCACTTAATACAGACCTTGAAAGCAAGATCAAACAGAATTGGAAGAAGATAGAAAAGAACGTTTTGAGAGGGACTTGAATGTACATTATTTGTTATGGCACCAATCCCAAAACTGGGGTGGAAAATAAAAATAATTGTTAAATACTAATAAATTTCAGACACTTATCATAAAATTTATATCCTATATAATAAAACCTAATATGCTAAGTGTCCGGTCATCTGATCAACCAATCAAAGTGTAATCTGCTAATGATATGCTAAGGCCGCTCAAGTGCTCACTATGACATGCACTGACCACCAGGAGGCAGACGCTCTGACCAGTAGGTTAGATTGCTGCTGGAGTCCAGCTGACCAGGATTGGGCAAGACGGGCCTGACACGCCCTGGAGCCTTCCCGAGGTCCCTCCCCAGCTGGCAACCTCCTGCATCCCTCCTCGGCCCTGATTGTGCACCTGTGGGGTTCCTTGGCCTGGCCTGCACCCTCTCACAATCCGGGGATGTTGGAGAGCTGGTTTTGGCCCAATCCTGCAGGCCAGGCCGAGGGACCCCGCTAGTGCACGAATTTGTGCACTGAGCCTCTAGTTTCTAAATAAACAAACAAACAAAAATCATACCATTAATCCTATTACACTAAAAAACAAACAAACTTGGGTTCTTAAAAGGTTATAGGATTATCTAAGCTCAAAGATAGGCCTGCCTGACCCCAAAGCATGTTTTCTTCATTCTCATACCACCTCCCATCCAAGTGTGAGTAGCTTTTATCTAGAAAGTTACCTTAATAGCTATTGGTCCTAGAATTAGCCTGTGGCTGTCAAACACCTGTCTAATATGAAATGGACATCCCTGTGCCTTGCTTCTTCTGTGTAATTCAGTTATGTTATTTTATTTAAATGCATTTTTTTTTTAAGAAATTTTTTTAAGAGAAATCTGTTTTTACTTAAATGTATTTTTGGTTGGTCTCAGAGGAAGAATTACTTTTGCACTTGCTAAAAACATATTATTATCAATAGGGTAATGCAAAGAATGCTGCATTATATGAATTTACTGAAGGGTAAGGAAGCATGACAGATGCCACTCAAAGGACTATAAAGGAGATAGGATATGGTCAAAGGAAATGTAGGAATTCTGTAAGAACGTTATTAGGACAGCTGGAACAGAAAGCTATGATGATGGTGGCTGAAGAGTGGTCATATAGATGTTGGGAGTCCAACAAGGCTGGACTGAGGAGGAGCACAGGTGACTCTGGGACTGTGTACCTAAGGCAGTGGCTAGGAAAGAGAAGCAGGCAGACGAAATAAAGATTAAAAGACATGCCCTGGTCAGTATTGCTCAGTGGGTAGAGTCAGCCCATACTCCGAAAGTTTGAGGGTTTGATTCCCAGTCAAAGGCACGTACCAGGGTTGCAGGTTCAGTCCCCCAACCCCTGTTGGGGTGTGTGAAGGAGGCAACCAACTTTTCTCCCTTTCTCTTCCCCTCCCCCTCCTCCCTTCCACTCTCTCTAAAAATCAATGGAAAAAATATACTTGGGTGAGAATTAAAAACAACAAAGATTAAAGGACACACAAGGAATAAACCAGCCTCTCAATTTTGTATTTAACTTCTCTTGAGTTAGGCAAAAGATAATTCCAGGGATAGTACATAATACTTCAAGACAGCACTAATTCAGTACTCACTGAGGCAATTGTGATCTGACTAGTCACAGAAAACCTAGTCTGCATTTTGGCCACCCTGGGATAAATCCCCAAGTGTCTTCTTATCAGCTACCAGAGGAGACTGGCAACAACTCCCAGCTAACGACCACATACTCCTCCTACCATAAGCAGGTCATTTCCCCATTTTCCCTCTATATTCTCAAGCGATAAAGATGAAGCAGCTGACCCAAAGAAAGCACTCAACACTCTTCTTCAAAACTAATTTTGCAAAGCTCACACCATTGTAAGTAAGATACATTTTTAAAGAACACACCTTGATATGTCTTCCCATCTATTTCAACCTCATAGGATTCCATAACTTCTTGAATGGCCTCACCAACATCACATAGACGAACATCAATTCCAGCACACTAAAGACCAAATAATGTATAGTGTTATTCAAAGCGCAGAATTTTACATTAGCTTAACTTCAAAACTGCTTTGTACATTGTAACTGTCTCTATAAAAACCTTTGGTTTAAACCACTTAAAACCCTAAGGACAGTGGAGTAGTCTTACATAACTCAAACACCTTCAACAGCTTATAATGTGCTCAAAATATGTTGAATAAAATAGTGATTACAGTTCACATACCTTTATTCCAGTGTTAGTGGCATCTTTTACAGCTTTTAATAATGTATCATATTTGGGATTAAAAGTGACAGTAAAAGCACAGTCAATAATCCTACCTGAAAGAAAAAAATTCTCATTTAAATTTACTTATCAGCTAGTTGATTTATCTATTTTATAGCACCTACTCTATTGCTTATCCTTGCTAGTTAACAGGAAAATAAAACGATGGGCTCAAATGAAAGCAGCACTCGAAGTACGCATTCATAACCAAAGGGAAAAAAGTAAAATTACTAAGTTATATGAAGGATTCAGGATGAAAAGATAATTCTAGTGGTAGTACATATTACTTCAAGATAGCACTAATTCAGTATCACTGAGGCAGTTATGCAAAAATATAAACAGAAACCAATCAAAGCTAGAAAAGCCTAGGGAACTAAGAAAGAGCAATCCAGGCAGAGAATATGTGTAGGTCCCCAGGATGCTAACCACCATTCCAGCTTCTTCAATTTAATAAAAGCTTAGGTAAGTACTTAATTTAAGCTTTACTTTTCACCTGTCGAAGTGAGATAAAACGATACTTGCAGAAATGCTAACAAGTATAAACGTTGGTAAACTTAAAGGTTCTAAGTAAACATTTGATGTTATATGAATGAATGTCTGAAATAATAACTGAAGAAATGTAGGATAATATTTTTCATGCCTTGATACAAAGGGTAAACTTCAATTACCTGATGGCTTTTATTATACTCCATTTAGTAGGAGGCTTTAAAGCCAATTTCAAAATCTACCTCAACACAGCTCTATTAAAAAGTGAGGCATCAAGAAGAAAATTTGGGAGCTCAGCACCTATAGCCCCGCCCCATCCAACATAGATAAGACTAGTCCTTTTAGGGAGTGGGGTGAAATTATTTCTAAGAACTCACCACTTATGTGTGTTCCAAAGTCTATCTTACAGATATCATCATACTGTAATACTGTTGTGTCACCAGCATTGGGAGTATAATGGGCAGCACAATTATTGAGAGAACACCCAGTAGGAAACGCCAGGCCTGCGTTTAATCCATTCTCTTTTATTAGCTTTCGTGAACAATCTTCCAATTTTTCGCTAAAAAATAAAAACAGAATTTGTTTACTTTGACATTTTATATAAGGTATAACCTTATAAACCTTACAGTTCATCATGTTCAGAAAGTTAAATAAAACTCTCTTAAATTACTTCCTGGAAATAATCTGAGCACTTTCTGAATGTGAATAACAGTTCCCTGAAGCTATAAAAAATAGTAGCGCACCTCTAAAAGATAAAAAACTTAATTCCACCAGAAATCTGGAGAAATGAAATGAGAGGACTTAAAAAAATAAGAATAATGGGTGCATTTGCACATGAGTGTACGTGAATACAAAATAGGATGGGTGAAGTACATCAACATTACTAGAATTTAGAAGACATTTCTAGAACCTTCATTTAAAGTAGTAATGAAAGCCAAACATTACAACTGATAAGTCAACTCTAAAAAATAATTATTTTTCTCATGTTCTTACAAAATCATATTCCTTTTACCAGATTTCTATCATTGTCATCCCAGGCTTAATCCAGCTCATAACATATTTTCTAACTTGTCGATGTGCTTCTGCAGCTTCTCGAAAATCATTCCAAATCTCTTCACTAGCTTGATCTAAGGCTTTCTTTTCTTCACTTGTAGTTCTCCAAGCAGCTGTTCGCCTTTACAGTACACATAGCATAGTATTAGTAATTTAAGAAACAGCACAATAAACATAAAACCTGAGATAAAAATATACTAATATAAGACATTTTAGATAAAAACATTACATATTTAATTTCTTTCACTAAATGTCAGCATAACTTCTGAATACAAGTAGTCAAACACTTGTAATCAAGCCAAATCATAATCAATACTTTCCAAGAATCTTAAAAAAAAAAATCAAGTGAGATTGCATTCATAGTCAGAGGACTAATACCATGCCGCAGAACATAACACAAAAGGAGAGAACCAGAAAAGTCAGAAGAGTCCTAGATACCAAGCAGGTAGGAGAAAAAGTCATCATTCCACTCGAGGTAAAATATATAATAAGAGGATTCAAAAGAGCACACCAAAATTTAGCATTTAACGTCACCAATAGGGCAAGTACTAATACAAAGACTTGACCTGGAAATCTGCATATGTATGTATACACACACACACATATATATATATATATATTCCTCAAAGCATAAAACATTATGGCTTTTGCAGGAGTTTTCTAACTGTGTGTGTGTGTGTGTGTGTGTGTGTGTGTGTTTATGGTAATCTTCCTTGAAGGATATGTATGGCTCACATTTTAAAAGTGCTAGGAGTAACAGATTTTTTTTTCAGTATCTGGGAATGAGGAAATCCACTGATTGCCTTTAAGCAGTACATTTTAAAAACTGTTTTCAAATGAAAATCTTTGAAAAAGTTGTTATCCTTTCACACATTCTTAAGAAATACTGAATATGTAAGGCCTAGCCAAACAGCTCAGTTGATTAGAGCACTGTCCCTACTATACGCTAAGGTTTTGAGTTCGATTTCTGGTCAGGCCACATATAAGAAACCACCAATGAATGCATAAATAGGTGGAACAACAAATTGATGTTTCTCTCCTCTCCCACTCTTTGAAATAAAATAATTTAAAAAATACTGTATGGTTCACAAACGCAGTGATCACGGAGGTATATACATTATACTTAGTATGAAAGTGATGCTTTCAAATTATTCCTATGGCCTTAAGTTAGTGGCTGGCAAACTATGTGGCCTGAAGGTAAATCCAGTCTGGCACCTGTTTTGTAAATAATATTTAACTGCTGCTCTCGCTTGTGTGGCTCAGCTGGTTGGGTCAGTCCTACGCACTGAAGGGTTGCAGGCTTGATCTCCAGTAGGGGGCGTGCAAGAGGCAGTTAATCAATGTTTCATTCTCACATTGATGTTTCTCCCTGCCCCTCTAAAATCAGTAAACATGCTCTAGGGTGAGGATAAAAAAAAAAAAAAAGAAAGAAAGAAATGACAGAATTAGAAATTCACTGCAATACAGTGAATAAATTACTGATAAAGGATCATCAGTGAATACTAAAATAGCTAAGTGAAAGGTTGTTAAAGACAAAGATATTCCAATGGTTCCAAACAACCCCATAGATTACATGTTAACTGCAAAAAGAAAAAAGTATCTTTAAAAAAAAGAAACAGGGATGATGGTCTTCATATTACCCAAGTGATTAAATACAGATAAACTAATCAACAATCTGAAATTACATCTGATGCAACAGACTATGGTATAATATGAAGTATTTTAATGTCACTTATAATATATCCCTGTCAAATATATTTAGTATAATGCTAATGTAAGCCTTTCCAACTAATTCTGGTTACAGAAAATACAGAAACAGAAAAAAGTTTAATGACACCACAAGGAAACAATGGGAGAAATCCCAGAACATGAGATTTTTTAAATTACCTGATCTCTTAAAAAAGCCAGTTCAATTGAAGAGATGAAGGTAGGGATTCTAATCATATGCAATGTATGAACCTTGATTGGATCCTGGTTTAGGAGGAAAAATAACTAAAAAGATGTTCCAGGGACAACAGGAAAAATATTCTAAATATGAACATTAGGTAATTATTTACATGATGCTGTGAAGTTACTGTTAATATACTTAGCTGTAATAATTTAGAGAATTTCTAATTCTAGGGAGATACTTGAAGTTTCTAGAAGTAAGGACTCAAAATAAGACTTCTTTTTAAATGGCCCAGCCAAAAGAAAAAGATCAACAACAAAAAACTACATGCATACACACACGCAGGGCAAAATGTTAATAAGCACTTTTCAATCTGGGTATTGAGTTCACTTTCACCCTTTCTTATGGAATTCACTATAAAAGTTGAAATCAACAAAGATATTTATTCCAACAAAGATATTTATTCCATCATTTATAATAGTAAGCAACTAGAATAAAAGAAAAAAAAATAGTAAGCAACTAGAAATAAAGTGTAAGTCCAATAAGAAAAAGCTGGACAAATTATGATATGCACACAGATGTGCAAAATTATTCAGCCATTAGAAATACTGTTGGTTTCTTTACTAACATGAAAACAAATTTTAAAAGGAATGATATTGTGATATAAGTCTACCTTGAAAAAGAGTTCTAGGTATTTATATGAGAGCTGTTAGAGGAAGACATATTAACAAGTTAACAGTGATTTTACTAGTAATTCACTGGCAGAATTAAGGAGACTTCTATTTTCTTCTTTTTGCTAATCTGTATTTACTAACTATTCTATACTGGATATGTATGGCTTGTAAAATTAACATTTTCCCCCCAAAATTGTCTACTAAATTTAGAAATAGATAAAGAATTTCAAAATAATACTTCATTCTACTTCTAGATATCCAGAATAAGAGAAAAACCAGTTCCAATTAACGTACTATAATGTTCATCACAGAAATTTTCCTAATAAAATATTGAAGGCAATATAAATATTCAAAAATAGGGAAATAACTAATAAAGTTAAGCCAGATACAGAATAGAATAGCATTACAGCCATTAAAAAATTGGTTTAAAAAACTTTTAATAACACTGGAAATAAACATAGAATGTTGTATTTTTTAAAAGGGCAACAACCAGTGTAATAAAAATGGATTCAGCCCTAGCTGGTTTGGCTCCATGGATAGAGCATCGGCCTGCAGACTGAAGGGTCCCAGGTTCAAGGGCACTTGCCCAGGTTGTAGGTTTGATCCCCAGTAGGGGGCACGCAGGAGGCAGCCGATCAATGATTCTATCACATCACTGATATTTCTCTTTTCTCTCTCTCTCTTCCTCTTCCTTTCTTTCTGAAATCAATAAAAAATAAAAATGGATTCAGACAAAGATCATCAATGGATGCTACATGGGAGGACAACATAAGGAATGATATATTTTCATATTCACAAATTAGTTTCCCACAAATTAGTAATTACGAGAAGAAAAAAAGTATTGATAAATCAAAAAAACTAGATAATACCTTATCTAAGTGATATCTACTCTCAAATCAATCAGAAAAATAGTATGCATACAAATTCACCAATGAAACATTTTCTCTATTTGCCTTTTATCTTCCAAGGAAAAAATGGAATGTTATTTTATATTATGTAGAGTATGTATAATTGTCATATTTCATTGACAGAACAATAAAAGTTGCAAAATGTTAAGAATCTAAGTGAAAAGTATACGGGAGTTCTTTGTAATATTCTCACATTATGGAATTATTCCTGTGAAGTATTAAATTATTTTAAAATAAAGCAATGTACTCAACATGGGTGATAGTTACAGTTGAGTTCTTTGTGATAATTCAAGCAATTTACAATCAGTTTATTTAAAAACAATGAGGCAAGATATAAAAATCTATTTAATATTTTACCAAATCTATAAGAATATTTATTCTGACCTATTTGCAAATAGTCAAAACTGATTGTATGAATGTCAACAAATACTGAGTTATCAAAAAGCAAATATAACAATACCTTAATTTCTTTTGTATTTCTCTAGGACAGCATATAGCATTGCTTTCAATATTTAAGAAAAGTATCACCCCAAGAGATATTAATCTTCACCTAAGGATATTTTTTGCACTGAATTTTAGAGAGTGGAAGAGACAGAGAGAGAAATACTGATGTGAGAGAGACACATGGATTGGTTGCCTCCCGCATGTGCCCTAGGAATCGAGCCTGCAACCGAAGTACGTGCCCTAGAGCCGAAACAAACCCAAGACCCTAAGTCCGAGGGCCAATGCTCTTAACTGGCTAGGGCCAAAATCTGCTTTTCTTAACATTACTTCAAATATTCCACCAATTCACAGTGATATAAAATATTAACAATCTGTTACAACTATAAGAAACCAATGGCTTTCCTCCACTTTAGCAATAAACATGTAGAAATGGAAGTAGAAATAAAAACTCCTGTTCACATCAGTAACAATACCAGAAAAGAGTCAAGAATAAATTTAACGTGCTTGCTTTGGCAGCACATAGATATACTCAAGTTGGAAAAATACATAACCCCAGCGCAAGGATGACATAAATATTCGTTAAGTGTTCCACGTTTAAAAAATATATAATAAATTTAATAAGAATGGGACAGAACCTACCAAAAAAAAAATCAGAATAAGTGGGAAAATATTTCATGACACTAGATAAAAACAATGTGACATAACTGCCAATTTTCTAAAAACAAATACATAAACGTAATGCAATTCTGATGAGAATTCTAACAAGGACATTTCTCTTGGGTGTGTGTGTGTGTTAAGATTATATGACAAAATAGCTAAGAAAAGAATGAAAAGGAACTGTGTTTGTGTGTGTGGCAGAGAAGATAAGACTGTTTTATCAAATTATCAAAATAGTATAAAGTTTAGGAAATAAAAATAGTATTAGCACAGGAATAGACAAATAGATCAAAGGAAGAGAATAAATAATACAGAAACTGGTTCCATTACACATGAGAATATATAGTTGAGCCTTGAACAACATGGGGTCTGGGGGGCCTGACCACCGAGCAGTAAAATAACCATGTATTGCTTAATTCAGTCTTCTGCATTTACAGATTCCAAACCACAGATCAAAAACATGTAATTCCAGCCCTGGCTGAGTAGCTCAGTTGGTTGGTTAGAGCATAGTCTTGATACACCAAGGTTGTATGTTCAATCTCCAGTCAGAACACGTACAAAAATCAACCAATGAATACATAAATAAAATGGAACAACAAATTGATGTTCCTCACCCCCTTCCTCTCTCTAAAAAATAAAACAAAAAAAACAGAAAACCCAAAAAACCCACAGCCCTAACCGGTTTGGCTCAGTGGGCAGAGCGTCGGCCTGCGGAGTCAAGGGTCCCAGGTTCGATTCCAGTCAGGGGCATGTACCTTGGTTGCGGGAACATACCCAGTGGGGAGTGTGCAGGAGGCAGCTGATCGATGTTTCTCTCTCATCGATGTTTCTGGCTCTCTATCCCTCTCCCTTCTTCTCTGTAAAAAATAAATAAAATATATTTTTAAAAAACCCACAAAACACATAATTCCATTATATAAGAACTAGATGCCTGGTGCACAGATTCGTGCACTGGTGGAGGGCGTGGCCTGCAGGGACCAACCTGCTATGGGAGTGTACTCACCACCAGGGGGCAGCTCCTGCGTTGAGCATCTGCCCCCTAGTGGTCAGCTCTTGCGTTGAGCATCTGCCCCCTAGTGGTCAGTGCACATCATAGCGGCTGTTCGACTGACCAGCCATTCTGGTCATTCCGCTGTTCAGTCACTGGGCTTTTATATAGAGAGATACATGACAAGATGGTTGTTCAATTGAATAGGATAAATTAATAAACAATTCTAAATTGAATAGGATAAATAATTCTAACACAACTGTCTATTCATTTAGAAAGAAGCATTCCAAACCTTACTTAAAAAAATTCCAGATCAATTAAAATGTAATGAAATACAAAAATAGTGAGTTTGAGAAAATCTAAGACTGCTAGGAACCCAGAAGTATAAAATATAAGCATTCTGTATTTATGTATTTAAAACTTCTGGAAGAGCAAAAAAGCAAAGCCAATATGCACAATAAGCAAAAGATGCTCAAAATCATTAGCAGTCTGGGAATCATAAACTAAAGTATTAAAATATTCTTTGATTCATTAATCTCCCTCTTGGAAAACAGTCACATAGAAAAATTGCCAAAGCATAAGGAGGGGTACATACACACACACACAAACATACGTATACATAAATGAGATGTTTAATACAAAGAACTAGAGGCCCGGTGCATAAAAATTCATGCATTTGTGGGGGAGGGGAGGTTCCTCAGCCCTCCCGCAGTCTGGGACCCCTTGGGGAATGGTCCATCTGCCGGGTCAGGCCCACTCCCCAGGGGATCTCTGGCAGTCCGGGAGCCCTTGGGAGATGTCTGACTGACAGCTTAGGCCCACTCAGCAGTCAGACATCCTTAGCACTACCGAAGAGGCGGGAGAGGCTACCGCCACTGCTGCTGCGCTCGCAGCCATCAGTCCGGCTTGTGGTTGAGTGGAGCTCCCCCTGTGGAAGCACACCGATCATCAGGGGTCAGCTCCTGCGTTGAGTGTCTGCCCCCTGGGTGGTCAGTGCGCATCATAGTGACTGGTCATTCTGGGTTGTTCAGCCATTAGGGTTAATTTGCATATTGCCCTTTTATTATATAGAATGGTTTATAATAGCAAAAAATACTGGAGACAAAGTAAATGCTCACCAGTTAGAAAATGGTGAAATAAAGAATGGTATGTTCACACCATAGAATATTATGAAGCCATTCAAAAGAATTACAGAGCTATTCTGACTTAGAAGAACTATATTTTTTTTATTTAAGAAAAATATTTTATTGATTTTTTACAGAGAGGAAGGGAGAAGGATAGAGAGCTAGAAACATCGATGAGAGAGAAACATTGGTCAGCCGCCTCCTGCACACCCCCTACTGGGGATGTGCCCGCAACCAAGGTACATGCCCTTGACTGGAATCGAACCTGGGACCCTTGACTCCGCAGGCCAACGCTCTATCCACTGAGCCAAACCAGTCATGGCATAGAGGAACTTTAAAGGGTAGTACTCAATGAGGAAAGTAAGGTGGAGGAAAACTATGCCTGATTTCATTTTTGTAAACAAGCAATGACCAAAACACTCTCCTTATATAAACAGACATAGTTAACACATATATGAGCATAGAAAAATATGGAAGGCTACCTGCTAGATGCTTACATGGGTCTGGAAGGAAAGGAAGGAAGAGGGAACAAGCAAAAAAAAAAAAAAAAATTAAAACTTTTTATTTAAAGATAAATGTGATCACATCCTATGTACCATGAAAATTTATGTAATTAATATAAAATTATGTGTCTGTACATTTTTTAAATAGATGCATCAAGATAGGATATTGATGAATTCAATTTAAAGAAAAGACGCCTATACCATAAAATTCCCCAACTTTACAGGCTAATTCCCTATGAGTACTGGGAAGCAGGAAGGCAGTAAAAATACAACATCATGCTCTTTTCTAATTAACAAAAACAAACGAACGAACAAAAACCTGCCCTGGTTCTATGAGCATTGGCCTGTGCACAGGAAGGTCTTGGGTTTGATTCGAGGTCAAGGGCAAGTACCTGAATTGCAGGCTTGATCCCCGCCCTCAGGGCGCCTGTGGGAGGCAACAAATCCGTGGGTCTCTCACATCAATATTTTTCTTTTTCTCTCTCTGCCCCTCCCTGTTCCCTTCCACTCTAAGAGAGAAACAAAACAACAAAAAACAATGCTACAGTAGAAGCTTTCTTAGCCAACTATTGCAACCACTCAATTAACCAATGCTCTTGACTCCCTCTGTAAACAGTGACTAATTCCCATTGTATTCTGAATATCAGCAGATGACAAGTTCCTATTCTGAATAGCAGCTAACACTTACTTAATGCTTACTATGTGTCTGTTACTCTACTAAGTGCTTTGCATATGTTATTATTCCTCACAACAACCTTATGAAGTGCTCCACTTTTTTTTTTTATTTTTACAGATGAGGAAATAAAACTATAGACATGATAAATTACTTGCCCAAGTCAAAAAGCTAGTAAGTGTTAGAGCTAGGATTCAAATGCAGATAGTTTAGCCCTAGCTTCCATATTCTTAACACATTTCGTACCACTCAGGAGTTTTCTCTGTTTCGCGTGCCATCTGTTAAGGACCGCTCATGAGTGTTCTCATTTTTCACGACCATGCGAAAAGGAGCAAATCTAGATACTTATGTAAATTTTGTTTGGTCCCTCTTCATAGAGGAAAATGTTTCACGCAGTACCATACGTTAAAAAAGTACTTGGAACTTTAATTGTTTTTGTAAATAAAAATGTTATAATTATTGAAAAACATCACCTAAAGTGCATTATGATGATTTAAATAATGTGCAGTTTGCCCAAAAACGTGCGATCCCTGGCATATGTCTTAGAGATTTCTATGCGGTACGCAATGTGTTAGCCAGTCTGCATAATGCCATTATGTGTCTGCTAACCAGTGGAAACACATATCCTTTCAGAATACTTCCAAGAATTTAGGTGATTTGTTCCCAAAACTTATTTAAGTCACCTGCAGTTACTACTATAATTATGTTATTTAATTATATATATTTCATTTAAAAAATTGTTTCTATAAAAACTAAATTGACTACTCAGAAAGATCTCAATAAATGCAAGTCATCAAAAAATACTTCTATCAAATTAAGTAAAGAATTATAAATGGTTGCAGGAAAAAAATGTAAAGATATAGGCAGACATCAGCTCTCAGATTACTTACTTATTCATAGAAATTCAAAATAAAATAGACTCATAGGCAATGCATGACTTATGGGGGAGAAAGTAGAATCCAATGCAAATTTATCCTAAAAATGATGAAAACCAAATATTTAAGTTAACTTTTATCAATAAAGACTAGAGGCCCGGTGCACAAAATCTGTGCACAGGTAGGGTCTCTAGGCCTGGCCAGCAATCAGGGATGATCAGGTTTCCTGCCTCCTGACCTCCCCACCTGTTCCTTCCCTCACCCACTCAGCGCCCTGCCGCCACCACTGGTCACCTGCCATGTTCGGTGCCACCCCCCCCAGTGGTCAGCTCATGTCATAGCGAGCAATCAAACTCCTGGTCTCCTGGTGGAACTCCTGAGGGGACAATCTGCATTTAGCTTTTTATTATATAGGATTTTTACTTTTTGTAATCCCACTTTTAACATACTTTTTTGATTAACCAAACTGCTGGTCTCAATCATTTTGGATAAGAGGGCTTCTACTGTATTTTCTCTGCAACAAATTCAC